TTCCAAGCACGATGTCCTTCTCCAAGGACTGGTCTTTCCTGGCCACATGCCTAAAATATGGCGGATGAACCTTCAAAATCCTTGGCTCCAAGGAGCAGCCTGGTTTCACCCTCTCCAAGACAGGCCTATTTGTTCTCTTAGTAGACTATGGTGTGTTCAATACTCTTCTCCAGCACCGAAACTCAAAGGCATTGATTTTTCTTCTGTCATCTTTGGTCATTAGTCATTATATCTAAATCCCAATTTCAATTTTGCTGTGGGTTTTTCTTTTCCTAACTGGTGTTTAAAATAAAGGTTTTTTAAAAATTTGCTTCTGTTTTCAGAAGTGATCTTAAATGCTCGTTTCTATAGGTACTTTGTAGGTTTGGAGTTTTGGTTTCTTTTTTGATTCCTAAAGTTCATCCCTTCACACACACACATACAAAAACACACACACAAACATATATATATATACACACATACATGAAAACATATATATGGATATACATATATATGCATGTACATATATATGCAAACACACACAAACACACATGTGTACACATATCCAGAATGGCCTCCTCTCTGTTCAATTTTCTGAGCTCTTGTTTAACTTCCTGATAACTGAATGAAGTCTTCCTTGGTTGTTCTATTAGAAGTATTATATCTCTTTCCCTCCTGCTTCAAATGACTTTTTATCATCTTTTGATATTCTAGTGATTGAAGAAGACAAATCTCCTTTCCTAGGAGAGGACTGCTTCTGAACAGCAGGGCTGTGCTTTGTAGAGCAGACCATTTACCAAGAAGCTCGTAGGCACTGAGACATGTGAGAAACACTTAGCATAGGCTACCTTGACTAGACTAATGCTCCCACAAACTTCTGAGGGAGGCTAACACAAGCTTGTGTTTGTGGATCAATTCCCTTGCCCTGGGTCTGGAACTATATATTTGTTTTATGTAAAGTTAGATAGTTTGTACCTAGTGAAGTAGGTGCAAATACAGTGAGAGAGACTACTGAGCACAAAAAATGGAAGCTGTGTGAGGCCAAAGTGAGTCTTTAAAGATCTTTTAGAAATCTAGACAAAGCCATGCTGTTGTTGTTATTAAGTGTCATTGAGTCATAGACAAACAACTCCTAGCGACCTTATAAACAAAAGACCTGAATACTTATATAACTTTCATAGTTTCTCCAAGTTCGTAGAGTTTCTGGAGGCATACACAAAGCTATAGATACACACATACACAGACACACACACACACACCCATAAATGATAGGACGAATGATTGAGTATTATGTTAGGAGCTATTGATTTGACTATCGGTCTTAGTGACTCTACAAACAACAGATGAAAACTAGTCCCTTTTCTGCACCATCCTCACAATCTGTGCCATGTTTATGTCTGATTTTGAAGCCACTGTTTCAACCCGTCTCATAGAAAAATTGCATAGGAAGGGAAAAAAATACCATTTACCTTTTTAATGCTGTTGTTATGTGTCATCAAGTCCGAACTGACTCATAACTGACCCTCTAGCAGGTTTTCAGAGGCTATAATCTACACGAAGGAGATTGTTAATGTTTCTCCTGCAGAGCAATTGGCAGATTCAAGGTACATGCCTTTGGGTTTGGAGCACACACAGCTCCTTACCCCTAGAGCATTAGCCCTCCTTACTCTATTCATAAATGATATAACTATTTAAATTAAAGTGTCCAAATGATTTTAGAATTGCGGTATTAGAATTAGTAAGAGGGTAATTAGTAATACTGCAGGATATAAAATTGATATATTGAAATAGGCTATGTTTTTGTACAGCATAAACTAAAAGTTAACATCTATGAGGGAAAAATATAAGGCAAATAGTATAAAGATAATCAACTTATGAAGTACTTAGAAAAAATACAAAACATTTTTAAGATATACAAACATGGACATAAACAGAAGGAGAGATAGACTAAATCAATGTAAAGGAAACGACAATATTGTAACGGTGATGGTTCTTACCAGAATGATCTACATATTTAAGCAAATGCTATCAAATATCATTAAGATTCTTCATGGACCATTTAGATTGATAGTAAAAGTTTCAATGAAGAAATCAGGAAAAAGGAGATCCATGTAAGCTTTGAAGACAAGAAAGCAAAATGAAACATTCGTGGCGTCTATGATATATTCTTACAGTTGTGAGAGAACAGTACTGATTAAGTCAGAGTACTAATTCTCACAAGTAGCTGTTGGTTACCATTAAGCTCTATTTATCATGTACAACCAAACAAAACTCTGACCACACTTAAGGATCACTGGTAAATTCAATAGCACTGTTGCAGACATTGTATATTTTTACTGCCTTTCAGCTTTAAGAAAACAAAACACAATAGCACTCAAAAACTGACCCCAAGACCTCAAACTCATTGCTATCTAATTAGAATCAAACCTTGTGTGGATTTTTGGAAGTCTATTTGTGTGGGATAATTGGGATGGGAGTGTCAGAGACAGTGCAATTGGCACAGGACAGAGTGGAGTTTGGGGCTGTTGTACACAGGGTCGCTATGAGTCGCAGACGACTCAATGGCACATAACAACAACAACATTTGTGTGCCAGGAGGTTGCCAATCTTTCTATTGCAGAGCCTTAGTGGATTCGAACCAGAGAATTGCAGAGAAGTGCTGCTTTTGGGTAAGCAGCATAACTTTCCAAGTACTAGGACATCAGAGCTCACTTCCAAACTATTAGGGCCATATTTCAGCACTATCTCAGTTCCTTGCCTCTCCTCCCATTTGTGCATGTATATCTTTGTGTCTATCTTGATTATGTGTGTGTGTGTGTGTGTCTTTCTCAATCTATCATCTATCTATACCTATCAATCTATCTTCTATTATCTATCTATCATCTATCTATCTATCTATCTATCTATCATCTATCTCTTTTCTTTAAACAACAATACAGATGACGCTGCATATATGAACAAGATAAAGTAGCCGACTTGTACTTCAAGGCTGCCAGGCTGCACTCACACACGTCTTCATTCACACTCTGCCAATAAAATGTTCGGACCGTGTGATTGATGTGCACAGGACTCGAGCTAGACTAAGAAACCAGCAGATTTTCACCTCTTGTTTCAAGGATACACCAGGGAATGTGCTCTTTGAATAGTTTATAAGGTGAGATCAATAGTTAGTAGAACATATGTCAGTATCAATAAAAACCAGCGGGTATCAAGTAGATTCTGACTGATGGCAATGCCGTGTGTGTCAGAGCAGAACTGTGCAGCGGGGTGGAGGGTGGGGGAGGTTGTACAGCTGGCTTTAGAAATAGATCACCAGGTCTTTCTTACAAGGAGCCCTCCAATGAACTGGAGCCTCCAGACTTTCAGTAAGCAGCCAAGCATATCAGCTACTTGTGTCACCTAGAATCAGCATCATTGTAGTTTTTGGGGTTTTTTTCCCCATCTTTCATGTTAACAAAGTCAAACCTAGCTACATTATACCTGTATCTGAGGCAATTCTTCTGGTTTCCAAGATTCCAAATCTGAGCTTCCCAGAGACTTAGTCATTGCCTGAGCTTGCACAGCATATTGAAAACTGAAAACTTCTTGGTGTTAAATCGGTGTTAACCAATTCAGAGCTGACTGTCCCAGGAGTTTTCACGACTGTAAATCTCATGGGAGGAGATTGCCCATCTTCTGAGGAGCTATGGGTGGATTCGAACCACCAAAGGGGCACTGCTTTTGGGTTAGCAGTGCAATTCCCTGTGCACTACACCACCAGAGCTCCCAGCATGTAGATGTCGTTGTTGTTGTGTGCTGTTGAATCAGAACTGATTCATAGCTGATTCTCCAGCAAGTTTTAAGAGGCAATAAGATGACATGGAAAGAGATTGCCCATCTTCCTTCTAAGGGGCACTGGTGGATTCGAACCACCTGCCTTTGGGTTGGCAGCACAACTTCTTACTCATTAGGCCACCAGAGCTGCCTACTAACATCAGAACCCAAGTTTATAGTCAACCTTGGAACTGAGCTCAGGCTGTCATTAGCAGCACCCCTTTTTTAATAAATTTTAATTTTATATTGGTTTGCTTACAAAATTTGTGTACATTGTGTTTCACACTATCCTTCATTCACATTGTGTTTCATTCAATCATTCCCGTTAATTGTATTTTATAAAATTAATCAACTCTGAACTATGTCCACCATTACCTTGTCTTTCCAGATCACCACCGGATCTTTCCCATTTCCTTTACCCACCCCTCCTTCGACCCACCAAGTTGTGTAACCCTATGATATCCTCCCGTTCATCCTCACTTGTCTGCTCTCACCCCCCACCCCACCTAACCCCGGATCATCATACATGTTTTAATAGTTTCCTTTCTATTTCTACAATAATGGTTTGATAGAGTATGAAAGCATTCTCTTAGATGTGAAAAAGCAGTGGAGGGGATCTCAACTTTGTCCCTTTAATAGAGATGAAGGTGGGAGGGAAAAGTTGTTGGGAAGCATTGAAAAGACATAGTCCTCTACTTGGCCATTGACTTATGTGAGGAATTATCTCTATTCTAGGTCAACCGTCAAAATGGATTTTCATCTGCAGAGACCTGACCTAGAAGGAATGTGATACAGACATGAGTATATACCCGAGTGGTCTTAATGGCTGAGCACTTGGACTCACACTGCAGTCTCCTTCAGCTTCTCTGCCCCTGGGCTGAGGGGCCTGCCCTGCTGCTCTCTGCATCTCAGGCACCCAGAACTACACTTCCTTGTTTACTTATTTAGAGCTCAACAGAGGAAGTGGTAAAGGAAACTAGCTGAGTCGGTTTCTGAGAAGAAACCATATTTGTTCGCAGAGGAAGTCGTTGCTTTCTGGGATCTGGCTACAGCAGAAGAGACGTGTGGCCTCCAGCAAGAGTGTTCCAGAAGGCACCTGGGAGTTGGAAGTGACAACAACACTGTCAAGCTCTGGATTTTGGGGTTATCCATTCATGGGTGTACCATCTGCACTCAGATTGTGAGCTTCCTCCCAGAAGAGAGCAGGCATGGCACTGAGGAATGTCCCCTTTCGCTCCGAGGTCCTGGCATGGGACTCTGACAGCCTCGCTGACTACTTCAAGAAGGTGAGCATGCTCTTTTCTCATTGGGAAGGTTCAAGATGCCTTTAATGGGTTGGGATATGAAGTTCAGGCAAAATATGAAAGACAGGAATGAGATGTCCAGCCCCACAACTATATCCTTCCTCAGTAGTTAACTGGGTGTTGTGTACACATAACAAAAAAAAAAGCTGAATTTTCTGGGGCGAGTACTGGGAAGAAGGGAGGAAAGACAAGCTCTCAAATTATGCACACCTACTATGTGCCAGAGCCCAAGTTTCTTGTCCTGCGGGCTACTTCCATGTAACACCCAGCAGCACCTTGTCAGGAGCTCCCTTGGCTCAGCCACAGAGTCGGCTCAGGGAGGACTAGTGGCCTCCAACCTTAGAAGCTGTTTATGTCAGAGGCAGGGTTGGTGTCTTGCCTTTCTGTGTTCTGAAACTCAGAGAATTGCAGTAAATATGAAATCAGTTGCCCAGAAAGGTAGCAATAGGGTCCTGGGGGTAGCAGAAATGGAGAACAGGATGAGGACCATACTAGACTATAATGTGTGATAGTTGGACATTTATTGCTTATGCCCCTGAAGGGAAGGACCTCAAGTTTTGACAGAGGACCGAGTCTCACTAGACCTTCAGGAGAATCTTAGGAGACGGGGCAGACAATGAGCAAGAGTCATTTTACTTCCAGGGAAACCAAGACCCCAAAATGAAAGAGGCCATACAGGATCATAGGTCAAGCCAGTGACAAATTTGGGACCAGATAGCTGTTCTTCTGCCCTTCAGCACTGGGGAAGATGCTCCAGGATCCTTATGTACAGTTTCTGTCTATGCGCACATCATCTTTGTGGATAGACGCCAAGCTGCAGGACCCAGTCAGAGCCTCTCTGTCAACTATCCAAAGGAGTTGTCGTGTGAGAGACACTGGAGCCCTAACATTTGCATTCCTGAAGGCTGCCGTCAAATTTAACTGGCACTCCAGAGCATAGCATCTTTTCATCTAGAGTAAATCAACTTCCTGTTTCTTCTGGGGAAACTGAGGCACAAAGGATGGAACAGGCTTTTTAGGAAGCACAACCAAACCTGAGGTCTATATAGTAACAGGGAATCTACAGTCACAGCATTTCTTCCCCAGCCAGGGTGACCAGAAGGAGAAAAGGTGGAATTGAGTGTGTAATGGCAGAGGCCTGCCACACACACTTTGCATTACTTACTACATTTTGGGCTTCTTATTTCTGGTACTCTCTCCACAAAAGGTCAGAATAAACTTGGTTTCAACCCGGTGTGTGCAAAGACCATTGATTAGACAGTTACATTTCAAAGGATGTTTCTGAATACTTTCCTTAAGTGCAGATCAAGTAAGTTCAGGAAACAGAGCGAGGCATCTAGCTCAAGAGAGAAAGGAGGAAAGAAGTGAGATTTAGTGAGGGGAAGTCAGGGACAGGTTGAGGGGTAAAGATAGGTATCCAAGAAGGGCATTGACACAGGCTGTTTGATAAAAGAAGCATCCACACATAAAATTTCCTTTAGTTCATGGAAATGAAATATAGTGAGTCACAAAGACATTGCCCTGACTAAATTAGGAGGAAAGCGAATGTGGTTCATGGAGACCTCAAGTCACACAGCAAATCCACATCACCTGTATAGTTAATCCACATCACCTGTATAGTTCCTCCTTCCCAGCATTAAAAATCGTGTGTGTGTGTGTGTGTGTGTGTGTGGGGCGGGGGGGGGGGAGATGGTGAGATTTAAAGGATTCTGGGGTCTGGATAGGCATTGTCCACCACAGTTAGAGACCCTTTGAATCCTGACCATCTCTATCCCTAGAGCCAAATTTCATGTAAACTGACCCCTTATGTTAGTGACCAAATGCTCCACTGGCAGGACCCATTGACAGATGTAGCTCCTAACAAGACGATGTGGTCAGGCCACTCTCAGTGGTGTCCCAGCCCAGTTCTGGAGTCAGACACCTTGATGTGAAGCCTGACTCTGCTGTCTGTCAGTCTAGTGACCTTTCTCTAGCTGTTGCGTCTCTCTGGCTTTAGCTTCATCATCAGTAAAATAACAACTAAAAGAAGTTCTGTCGGCATAATGCAGTCTTTGTTGTGCTGCTAATGGAAAAGTCAGCAGTTTGAATCCATAAGCCACGCTATGGAATACAGATGGGCAATCTTTTCCTTTGCAGGAGGGTTACCATGAGTCAGAATAATGGCTTGCTTGGTAAAGTAGAGTGTTGGGGGACCGCGGGGGGTGGAGGAAGAAGACCACCCCATCCCCCATGTTGAAATGGATTGACACTAGCTGCAACAATAAGCTCACACACAGCAGCTATTGAGAGGATGGAGCAGAGCTGAGCTGTATTTTGTTGTGTTGCCCACAGATTTGCTTTGAGTAAGAACCAGAATGGCACATGACTACAAAACCAACAACAGTAACTAGGAGCTGCTGGGTGGTGTTACCAGCAAGCATGTTTGACTGTTAACCACACACATGAATAAGCACCTCAGAAAAAAGGCCCCAAATTTAAAAAATTTGTCACTGAAAATCCCGTGGAGTACAGTTTTACTCTAGTACACATGGGGTTGCCATGGGTCAATGTCCAGTTGACAGTAACTGGTTGATTCTGGTAGTAGTGACTGACCTCAGAGGATTGCTGTGTGGGTGATAGGACATCATGTATGGGAGCATTTAGCAGAGAGAAGAGAGCCAGTTACTGGTTGACCCCTTCATTTTTCCTGTGTTAAATAACTGGATCTGGACTAGGGAGAAAAAGACTGGTTGGTTGGTTGGTTGGTTGGTTGGTTGGTTGGTTTGTCTTCTTTTCTTAGATGCTATTGTCTCCTCCTCTGTCTGGAACATAAGTTTCTGGAGACCAAAATGGAGTTCTGTATTTCTTTACACTCTGATTCCTTTTGATTTAGCCGCAAAGCATCTCTGTGCTCTCCGTCAGAGAAACACTGACTCAGAGCCACGCTTCTAATCCTGACTGTGTGCACAATTCACTGGGCAAACTTGGGCAAGTCCCCTCCTTTCTCTGAGCCTGAATTCTTTCACTTACAATGTCAGGCACCTGTCTGTATTAATGCCTACCAAAACTGGCTGCTCCCAAGAATCCTTGAGGGTGCTTGCTTAAAATAGAACCTCGATAGTGGCAATGGCTGTAGCATGGTAAATGTGATTGTTGTTAGGTGTCATCAAGTGGACTATGATTCACAGAGACACTATGGACAGCACATTGAACCTTTTCCCTGTCCTGCGTCATCCCAAAAGTCTCTGACATGCACCAGCCCATTGTTGTAATCAATGACTCAATTTGTGTCTCTGAAGTGTATTGGATGGCAAACCTTTTGTGAGGAGTACTTTACTACTCACTCACTCAACTCATTACTGTCAAGTGAGAACCAAGTCACATCTGATCCTGCAGTGCATTTGCAGAGGCTGTAAATAACACAGGAGGGGATTTGTAGTCTTTCTCCAGCAGAGAAGCTGGTGGATTTGAACCACTGGAGTGGTGGATACTTCGGGTTAGCAGCACAACCTTCTATGGTGTACCCATCAGAATGCCCTGTTTTCATACATTAATGAAAAGAAATAAAAATTAAAAATACAGACTCTAGACTCCTAGATTAATAAATTATGATTCAAAATTCAGCCCTGTCTGCAAGACTGTCTGTCTGCCCAGCGTCCAAAACTGCGTTCTGCAGAACTAGAGACTTATCTGATGAAGATGACAGTGAAAAAGATACATTAAAGGCCGTTGAATTTCCTATGAATCATTTACACCACACCACATGTAGATAAAAGGCATGTTCATGGTGCCTAGGAGACCCTGGGAGGTAAAAACATTTAATGCCCTGAGATGCTAATTGAAAGACTGGTGGTTCAAGGGCACACAGAAACTTCTTCGAAGTAAAGCTTAGCAATTTGCTTCCCTACAACCATCCAGCAAAGCTGTATGGAGCACAGGGGGAACTGACGTGACTGCTGCTGGCACGGTGCCCTGAGTGGTGGTGTTTCCCACGCAGACCCCTAATCAGCTTTCTGAGAATGACAGTACCCCCCGCCAAGAGAGTCCAACAATTCTATTTTTGTTTTATCTTTGTTGACTTTTGGAGTGTATCATCTTAATTTTGTCCACAAAGAAGTCTGCCAAAAACTCAGAGTCCCACTCCATGCAGGCAGTCCTTAAGGAAAGGCATTTAGCATTTACATGTTCTAGGCTCAACCATCAAATCCAGAGATATTTTAAAGTGAGAAGGTTTATGTTATTCAAGAAAAGGGTAAATGGATACCTCATACTGTTATTAATAAGCAGGGCATTTCAAGATAGACTCAAGGTGTCTGTCCAAAATGATCAGTCCCATTGATGGAACTCTAGTCTAAGACATGACCTCAAACAATTTTTCTTATGGAGAGAGAGAAAAGAAAAATTGCACATGAAAGGATGGCCTTGATATTCTGCATCTTGATCTAGAGATCACATTGGGCTGTACACTTACATTTGATGATTTTAGTTACTGTTGATCAGGTGAACTGAAATAGAGGCTCAAACCCCCAGTCACCTTGTTGGAGAATTATGAGGCAGTCTACTTCTGTGAATACTCGAAGTTTTAGAAACGCTATGAGATAGTTCTACTCTTTCTATAGGGTCTTTTCTATATGAGAAGGAATTGATTCAATGGCTATTACACGTTAAAAAAGTAATATGCATAACAGAAATATTAGAAGGTTGGTCTGCCGCCAGACCTCTTGCAAGTCATCCAGCTTTCTGAGCCTCAGATTCCACATCTGCAAGGTGTGACACAGGATGAGTTTAAGTACTTGAAATAGTGTTTACCACAACTCAAGTGCTCAAGAATTATTGGTAATTTTCATCATTCCAAGGACAGCAAATTCGGGAAAACAATCTAACCGCACCGCAGTAAGAGAACAAGTAAATAATATGGTCGTCATTAAAATAAAGCTTAAAACAAGTTTGTAATTATAAAGAACAATACCCATACTGTGATCTTAAGTAATTTTTAGAGGAAGCAGTCTAACGACTTTAAATAAATATTATAACCTCAAATATGTTTAGAAATGTGCTTAGAAAAGGCATTAATAGAACTGAATCGTAAAGTTCCTCAGGGTTGTCCATGGCGGTGAGACAATGTATAGTGCATATTTTCTTCTTTCAGTGCCCGTTCATTTCTTCAAGGGGCAGATTGCCTTTATATAACCGGTAGCGTCCCTTTAAGCAGGCCTTTGCATGCCTGGAAGACAGCTTTTTTTTCTATAGGCTCTTGCTAAGTGCTATTGAATCAGCTACAATTCATAGTAACCCCGCATGGGACAGAATGAACCCATCCAACCCTGCACTGTCCGCACAGCCTCTGTTGTGTTTAAGCCCATTCTTGCAACCACTGAGTCGGTTCATCTTGCTGAGGGTCTGCCTCTCTTCCTCTGGATCTTTACTTTACGAAGCATGAGTCAGGTTAGCATTGTAGGCCATGTGAGATGAAGTTTCACCAAAGTCTCTGTTAAGGAACATTCTGGCTGCTCCTCGAGCAGGGGCTTAGACTGAGACAATTGCTCCAGTTCTGAAAGCCCCAAAGGGGTAGTGAAAGCAGGAGTGTGGCTGAGGTAGGGATGGGCCCCTCCGCTAGACAGGGGTGCGGAGGGGAAGGGTGCCTGGCAATCCACAAGTACCACAAATTACTGAGTGTCGGGCAAGAAGTGGAGACGAGCCAACGGCATGGGTCTACCTGCCATTGAGGACATATTTCCTTTCTCTTTGCAGCTTAACTATAAAGACTGTGAAAAGGCGGTGAAGAAATACCACATAGATGGACCACGGTTTCTGGTAAGTTCTAGTCAGTCAAAGACATTGAAACCAGGGGCATCCCGTGATTTCCTGTCTGGTCTTTCTTGACCCTGAGGCTGCCTGAGGTCAATGTTTGTCTTCAGGATCCTCACACAGTCCTTTTCCTCTTCAGAGGCTGGGAAACCCCAGTCTTACCACTGCTCAAAATCCTTCTAAGTCATACTCTTCTCAACACTTGTGCTGACAGGGAGCTAGCTTATAAAGTCAAAATAAAGTGAAGACTCCAATAATAATCACAAAAATTATCCTTGAAAGTTGATTTAAATGCCATCCAGAAGCCTATGGGAGAAAACATACCATCTAGAGAAACAGCATTTTCTTCTCCAGCCTCTCATTCTGCATCACAAACTCACTGAGCAGAAAAGAATGGATGAATTCAACCTCTGTTTTCCCATTGTTTTCCTTTTCTCTCTACTAATTTCACCTAGTTGGCTTTGTGTCAATTTAATCTCTCAGAGATATGGTGCTCTTCGCTCCATTGTATTAAAAAGTTTTAAGGTATAACTGTATATTAAAGACCAAGCCATTAAAGGCAAGGGGATGCAGCCCTAGCTGTGGAGATAAAGGTGCTGGTTAGTTTGGGAGGTTGTCTGACGACTGCCCCTGAAAAGACAACCTTATATGTGGATGAGAGAGATCCTAACCACATTCCTTCCAGATACTTTCCTTCACTCTTTAAAAAAGAAGTGGGAAGAAAATTCAAGGCTCTCCTGAGATAAATATTGTGAACTTGAGGAGGACAAGCTATACTGTGACTCCTGGAGGGCCTAGACAGTAAGAAAACATGACCATGACACTTGAGAATTAGAGAGGCCAGAGAAGTCACATACTCTGACTTTCTACCCAAGACGCCTGTATTATTAGTTGGAACTCCTTCCATGACAGTGAGCTCATTAGCACCAAATATCACCAAGGAGACATCACCATTATCACCAAGGAACAGTCATCTGCTCCCTTCTAGGCAGTATAGAAGTCTCATTCTGGTGCCAAAATTATGGCAGAGCTCTGACAATGCAGCCAGTTAAGAGTTGGTTTGCTAAGTGAAAAGTTAGCTGTTCAAATCCACCAGCCGCTCTGTGGGAGAAAGATGAGATGGTCTATTCTTATAATGATATCTCTCATTCCCTCCCTCCCTCCCTCTCTTTTTCTCTCTCTCTTTTCTGTCTCTCTCTCTTCCTCTCTCCCTTTCTTTCTCCTCTCTCTCTCTCTGTTGTTAAGTTGTAACTGACTCATAGATGACCCTCTGCTAGATTTCTGAGGCTGTAATCTTCCTGGAGAATGCTCTTCTTTCTCTCAAGGAGCCACTAGTATATATAAACCACCAGGGAGGCATGGCGTTTGGGTGAGCAATGCCACTTCCTTTATTCTTGGTCCTCAGAGCTCCTTTGTACAGATTTACAGCCTTAGAAATGCTAAGGAGCAGTTCTATTTGACGAGTTTGGAATTAGCTTGACTGTTTTTAGGTTTATTGGGCTGTTTTGCTTTTAGTTGTCATAATGTTGTTGTTAGGCCCTATTGAGTCAACTACAACTCACAGGGACCCTATGAATGACAGAACTAAAGCCTTCCCTCTCCTGGGCCATCCTCACCATTGCTGATATACTCAAGCCCATTCCACAGTCACTTGGTCAATATAAGTCATATCTATTGATATTTTATCTAAATTGTTCCTTCACCCACCTATTCATTTCCTAAGTCTTTCCTGAATTCATTTCATACACAAAGCTTTGTCAGGTACCAGGCACATGCTGGGGTAAAGACGTGATTTAACACATAATTCCTTACAGAAGCTTGTTCTGTAGCAGATAGGAAGCTTCAGGAAACCCTCCAACTCACTTGCAGAGGAGAAAATCAATATACAGAGGTGTGATCAGACTTGACACAAGTTACATACACACGAAATGATCTCAAGTAAATATTTAATTAGTGTAACACCATTGGAGTCTTAACAATGGCATTTGTATTGAGCTATTAGCCAATAGAATTCCTGTGGTTATGCTGTTGTATTGCTGTTCTCAAAACCTGTTGCTAACCCTTCTTCATTCTGGAGCCTGTAGCACTGACAGCAGCGTCTCAGGTTGCTTCAGTGGGAAGATACTGCATCTTTAGGGCTGGTCCTGGTAGCAGCCGCATGCCCTGTGACCTGCTGTGAGAGCAATAGGCCCTTCTGGCTCTGTGATTCCCCATACCAGCCTTGTGGGCATTCCAGGGCATTTCCTTCACTGGGAGATGGTATCTGATCAGATGTGTCTCTTCAGTTCTAATCTCTGGGACCATCAGCCTTTGAAAGTACGCAACTAATTCTGTTTGTTGCATGTAAACTAAGAGGAAGTAGAAAGACATAGGAAGTGGGAAAGCTGGGAGAAAAGCCAGACATCTGCCCCAGTAACTGGGGTGCTCAATGCTTTGCCTGAGGTCTTCCCACCCATCCCCACTCTTGGACACTCTGGGTGCAATGCATTTGCATGTGAACTCTAAGTTCTTGCCTATCTACTCAGTGCTCTTGAAAGCAGAGTGGAAGACCTTTCTTATTTTTCTCTTTTGTTTTTCCCTCCTTTTCTCCCTTCTCTTCCCCCTCCCATAATTTTTCCTTTGTCTCTTCTTCCTTCCTGCCTTTCTTCTACAGAACAAGAGTTATGATGTCCTCCTGAAGAAGCTGAATTCTCTTTTGCTTTTATTTCCCTTTCCTTGGTGGGAATGACATCCACTTGTCCAGTGGGAGGTGAGGGGTACTGTGCTTTAAAGGGTGGAAAAGATTAACTCATTGCCTTCAAGTTGAAAGCAACTTTTTGTTGACCCATTACTGGGTTTTTCAGAAGCAGTAAACTGCACGGGAGGAGATTTTCACTCTCTCTTGGAGCCTCTGGTGGATTTGAATCTTGAAAGTGATGTTACTTTGAGGCTAATGGTGCATTTCCCCAGGGGCCACCCAACCAGAGCTCCTTAGAAGATGGAAGAGGAGGGGGAGGCAAAGTGCTTGGAACTTGAGTCACATAGGAAGACACGTGGCTGTGTGTAACAGAAACCTGACCACAGTGGTTTTACCAAACAGACGTTATCTTTTTCAAGCAATAAGAAATTGGCAACTGGATACCCAGGGTTGGTGAATATCTCCAGCAAAGTGATCCAGAAAACAGGCTCCTTTTAGCCTGAGGAAAAGCCCATGGCATCTCCTCATGTTGCTGCATTGGCTATTCCCCCTCTAGGCAGGCACCCACCTACCTCACAGGCAGGAGAAGGTGGGAAAAGAGTGAGTGATTCAGTGAATATCTTATTTTTTTAATAATATATAATAAATTTTCCAAAAATTCCCTTCAGCAGACATCAAGCTGTATCTTCTCACTTGCTGTAGTGAAGTGTAGTGGCGTGTCCTCTGCTAGTTATGAGGACATTTGTTGTTGTTAAGTGCCATTAATGCAACCATGATTTAAAGAGACCCTATGACAACACATTGAAACCTTGCTCTGACCGTGCCATCCTCACAATTTCCTTCACGCTCAAGTTCATTACTGCAGTCACTGTGTCTGCCCATCTTGTTGTGCATCTTCATCTCTTTCTGTGACTCTACATTTTCCAAGAATTCTGTCTTATTCCAAGGACTGGTCCCTCCTGCCAACATGCCCAAGGTATTTAAGAGAAAGTTTCACCATCTTTTTTTTGTTTGTTTGTTTTCTTTTTTTTAATTTTTTTATTTTTTTAAATTTCTTTATTTTTCATTTCAATGAACATCTACAGAGTTTTCAGAATTCATTCATTGTTGCACCCCTCTCCCCGCCCCATTCCCCCCCCCGTTTGCTCCTCTCCTTCAAACGCAAAAGAAAAACAGAAAAACTCCCTCATTGGTACGCAATCCCCCACACACATCCCCCAACCCCCAAATATAATCCACTCTGCAACCCTCATTCCGTACTCTTACAATAAACAAGTTTCACCATCTTTGCCTCTACACTTCCTTCAGGACAGATTAATCTGTTCCTTTGACAGCCAATTCAATGCAACAATTAGAAGGCATCAATTATTCTCTGATCTTTCTTCTTCCTTGTCCAACTTTCACACCAGATGAAACAATTAAGACACCATGACTTAACCAGGTGCTTCTTAGTCTTTAAACGGATATCTAGGGAGTTAAATATTTGAAGCAGGCCTACTGTTGCCCTGGAAAAAAATTGAAAAAGTTCAGGTGTCCTCCTGCAGGGCCTGGAGACCCCATATACATGTCAGAGCAGAGCTATATACTCCCTTGGGTTTTCAGAGGTGGCTTTTTCAGAAGCAGAATGCCAGCCCTTTCTTCTAAGCACTCAGGGTACACTTGAACCTCCAACCTTTCCGCTAGCTGTTGAACATGTAGACCATTAATACCATGCATACCCGAGTCATAGTCTACGCCAGGACAAACAGTACTGGTCAGGAAAGAAGAAAGGGAGACTGGCTCATGATTTAGCCAGCAATAGTGCTCACACCACTCTGTAGATAAGGCCATATTAGTAGCTTTTCTTCTCTCTGTGCTCTTTTAGTACACCCTCCACATAGACTCAGACCCTATCCAAACTCACACACATAACCCTAAAATGATTGTATAGTAAACAGAGTTTCCTAAAGGTTTATGAAGGAGGAGGAGGACGAAGTTCCACCACACAGCAAAACAATAAAAAACCAAAACCAAGCAAATGGTTTAAAAGTCTCTCCTTTTCCTTCCAAGTTTCTGTCTGTTAATACTTCTTTTTTTCTTAACTTTCTGCTTTTCTGTGTCTCCAGTCATGTTCCCTTTCCACCTTCTCTCCACACAGTTCCTGATTTCTTCTCAGTTTGTATTTTTCATTCAACACAACAGGAGCCAGCAGCCTGCTGTTAGTCAGCTACTGTCCTTTTCAACTCCCTCAGGAGGCCCCCAACGTATCCTGCATGTTCTCAACACGAGTCAGTATCTTCCCGGAGAGGAGAGGTTTCCAAAAATACATGTGAAAACATTTGGCCATGAAGTCTCATCTTCTCTGGACTCACATCGTCAAGGTGCCCTGGGAGTCCCTGTGTGGAAGAAACTGTTAAAGTGCTGTGCTGCTAGTCTAAAGGTTGGAGGTTCAAATCCATCCAGAACTGCCTCAGGGAAAAATGCCTCTCAATCTATTTCTGTCATCAGTGTTGTGTTGCTAACTCTCTTTGGCAACTCAAATCTCCAGTGGCTCCGAGGGAGATGAGCAGTTTCCTCTCATGTGACTGACAGCCTCAGAAACCCAATGAAGATCAGCTATGATTCAGTTCTGACTCCACAGCAATAAGTTTGTGTTGAGTAAAACCCTCAGTTGAGTAAGAGCCTCAGTATGGTTCTCCTCTAACACCCTTTAAGTGATCACGAGCCTTTGTCACATCAGAGAAAATTGGTTTAGTTTTTGGTTTTTAAGATGCTCTCATGTCACCTCTGACCAGCTGAACACAAAAGTGAAGACCACAGACTCTTCCACAGGCAGCAACAACCTCACAGGCAGAACTTATCTCTGAGGGGGAAAAGAGGTGAACACAATCTTGCCACAGAGCCCACCCCAGCCCCAGCTGCTCCCTGGCCCCTTGGCAGTAATTTCTCCCCTCACTCTCCATTTCTCAGTCATGTACCGCATACCGGGCACTATACTCAAACATACCATGTCTGCGGTCCCAGCATGTACCATCCAGGGCAGTAATGTCTTTCATAAGCCTTCTATTTAACAGATGGGAGCACTGAGACTCAGGAAAATTACGTATGTGTAGACATGAAAACAGCTGCTAAATAGCGGAACCAGTGTTCAAGCCCCTGCTGTCTGACTCTAGATCGCACCCCTTGACCTCCCAGCCCTCTGGCCTTAGTCAGAACGTAACAGAGCTGCCAGCCGGTCACTGTTCTAGTCTTACTTGGTTCCTTTTGATTGTTCGTCATCGGTTCCATAGAAAGCATGCCCACACACCTTTCTGTTCTCAGTATCAGCACCTATGCCTCTCTTCCAGTTCTCTTCTTTCACTCTGCCTAACCCCTCACAATCTACCCGACCTCTCAGAAAGTTCTGACTTGGAGGAAAGAAGAGCTATAGGGGGAAAAAAATACACTGTGGATTCTCCAGAGTCAGTGTTCTAACTCCAAGTCTATCCTCCAAAAGCTGCCATTCCCTTAATATCAAGTCCTAGTTTACCTATACCATGGGTGCACTTAGAGTTCCAATGTCATAGGGTCAATGTGAGGATTAAGTAAGTTATTAAGGCAAAAGGAGGTTCTAGTTGCATAGTCGATAGTGAGTTGCACTGTTAACTCCAAGGCTGGGCCTCCTTGGTAGATGGGATCCACCAGTGGCCCCTCCCCTCTGATTTATAACCTCGGAAAACTGACAGAAGGTCTGCTGTGAGTTGCTTCTGACTTGACGGCAGTGAGTTTGAGTAAGACAAAAAGGCCCAGGTCAGTTCATCAATATGTGTTAGAAATCCCCTCTATTACATTGCCATGTATGGAGGTTCTTACCAATAGGCCTGGTGAAAAAGGGTGGGATAAGAGTGGTAAAAGACAGAGACACCTTTTCTAAATTGATTTCTCTACAGAAGGTCCATCTCACATATTTTGGGTATGTGACAAAGAGGAACTGGTCCTTGGAGAAGGATATCCTACCTGGAAGGGTTGAAGGACAGTGCAGGGGAGGTAGATCCCAGATGAGATGGATTGATACAGTAACTGGGGAAAAGGGGGTTGGTGTGTTGGAGTTCGTGAGACAGGCTCAGGAGAGGGAAGCGTTCAGAGCTGCTGTACACAGGGTTGCAGGCAACTCGATGGCACATAACAACAACAGGTTGAAATAGAGACCAAAAGAGATGGAAAAGCCTAGGAAAGAGATTGCAAAGTGGCCCAATTCATTCTACTAAACAATTTTCAATTGGTTTTCCCACAGATTTGCCTCTCATAGACTTGGTTTAAATGAAAATTGTCAATATTTTTTTAAAAGATAAAAAATACCCTCAAGTTATTTGGTCGAAACCAACTCATGATTAACACTCTAGAGGTTTGTAGAAGCCCATAATTCACAAAGGAGAGATTGCCCATCTTTCTCCTGATGAACCTTTGGTGGATTTGAATAGCAAGAGAGGTAGAACAACTTTCTATGGACTATTCTTTATGAAAATATTAATTAAAAAATTCATTTTGTTTATGAAAGACTCAGAAATATTAGGCCCAGAGGCTCACCCAATAGCTCAAAGGTTTGGGTGGAGAGGGTCTGTAACTCCCCAGTCCCACCACTCCCCACTTTAAAGTCACAGTGTGCCAGTCTTCACTACTCCCTATTGTACTCTCCCTTAGTCTATTCACCTGGAAAAAAAAGTCTTTCTTATGGATTGTAACCTTGCCACGTGTGTCTATCTTGGTTTCAGAATCTAACAGAAAATGACATCCAGAAATTTCCCAAGCTCCGGGTACCGTAAGTACTCCCCCTGACTCTTAAGATTGTTCGGGAACAGGGGCTAGAATGAAGATAGGCTAGAGGTTAGTCTGTTACTTCTCTAAAATTTGTAAAAGATACTATTTTAAAAATGGCAAAATAAGTAGGAAGGATTAATGCAAAGAAGAGACCTCAGGTGGTAAATCGGAGAAAAGAAGTAACTGACATAGTCCAACTCATGTGTTGACAGTTTTTGCCACAGCCAAGCCTGTCTCTGAATCCTGTTGTCTTTTTCTCTCTTCTTGATGAGGTTGTTGGGCCTGTGCAAATAGTACCAGAGTCAGGAGACCTGAGGTTTTATCAAGGTGTTGCCACTCACTCAGTGTTTGCTTATGTTGATATAGAACTTTCAACGATGTAAATTGAGAGAATTGGGCCAGAAGAAAGATGTTAGTGGGTATCATTTTGTCTGTTAAAACTCATTCCTTGGGAATGTCTGTTGATAGTGCTGTGTTAGTGAAAATCTTGAGAAGAGGGAGCCATGATCAATTACTGATGTCCGCCGTGGGTGCTGAGATGGGAAGTTAGTTGTGGCGTGCATATTGTGCTGGATGTTTTTTCATCCCTTTGGTAAAGTTCTTGCTTACTCAGATGCCTGCAAGAGCCAAACATAGGGTAGAAATGTATAAAATAAGCTGTGCTGAAAATTACAAAGCCCCATGGATTTATTTTATTTTGCTGCCATTGAATAAAACAGGAGTATAGAGAAATGTTTCTTTACTATAATAAAAATAAAAGCACACAATTACACACATGAAAGTTAACCAGTAAAATGTTTCATTGTTGGGAAACAGTAAAGAGTAGTGAGCGTTGTGGCAAATCAGAAATCATATGCTTCATGCAAAGAGAACAGCAGCCTTGCACAGCTAGTTAAGGTGGACCAAATTATGCTCAAACTTAAAAGTTACTGAGAGCCTTTTGAGATGTAGGGATTATACAATATATCCACATTCTTAAATGTTGTCTCAAATGCTTTACAACACTGGGAAAGCCAAAGTACATACATCCATTTGTCATATTTTGTCTGGGTGCTTCCCAGTAGAGATTTCTACACAGGTCATTTTGTAAGAAACATCTCTTGATCTAAGAGTTTCAAAGCCCATAATAAAAATGAGAAAGTAGGCTAATGGAGCATCACTGGTTTGCATGTCTTATAAGTAGGTCCCACTGCCAAAGTAGCTTAATTAAGGAAAATAAATGTAGCATGATTATCAGGCTTCTCTTGCCTGAAATCACTGGTTGCTGGTTGCCACTGAATCAATCCTGCCTGACTCATAGGGGACCCTTGTGGGTCAGAGTAGAATTGATTTTCATAGACTTTTCAATGTTCCATATTTTTTAACAGTAGATTGTCGGACTTTTCACAGCAAACAGTAGCCGTGATAGTGGTGTGATCAGATGTAAATAGAGTGGGGCATTTTCCCTCCAGATCTGCCCACCCAAGTCCTGGATGCTGGGTATTTTCTAGTGTAGAGATGAAGGGGATGTATGAAACTTACACCTGCCTTTGGTTACTGAAATTCACCTCTGGGTGGATTGAATATCAAACTTTTTATTAGTAGCAAGTGTGTTAACCACCTCTGTCACCCACATGATGCCTTATCTGGAAGGGTGTAGATAGGAAATTGGGGCAAATATTTTTCTTTATTGTTGTTGTGTACCTTAGAGTTGGAACTGACCCCTGGATGACCCTGCAATACATTTTCAGAGGTGGTTAAGTTCTTGGGAAGAGCTTACTCATACTTGTCCCATGAGCAGCTGGTGGTCTTGAACCACGTGTTTTTGGGATTGCAGCACAGCTTTTTTGCCACTAGGTCAGCAGAGCTCTGTAACTAATGACTATCCCCAAGGACATGTGTCACTCAGGACTTCTTATTCTTCCTAAGGGTTTACTCCAACCACATGTTGTTATTTAAAATTAAATTAAATCACAAATTTGGTTCCTTAGGGGACTCACCACATTTCAAGTCCTCAGTAATTACACGTGGTTAAGTGATTGTGATTGCTATGTTGCAGCATGTAGATATAGAACATTTCCATCATGTCAGAAATGTAATGCTCCAGAGAAAGACTCTAGCTCTCTGTCAATGAGGTTACTTAATGCACAAGGGTCAGGATTTATGGCTGGAGAACCAGAGTCAGCATATTGGCACGCGTCAGGTGACTCATACACTGGTTTAAAATCAAGACATGCCCTGTAAATCCAGCTTCTCTGAAAAATCATAAGGTTGTTGTTGTTATGGACTATCAAGCCAAAACCAACTCATAGCTGAACTTCCAGAGGATTGTTCAAGACAATAAATTGAACAAGGAGAGATTGCACATCTTTCTCCCACAGTGCGACTGATAGATTAGAAGTGTATGCCTTTGGGTTGACAGCACTCCTTACCACTAAGCCACGAGGGTTCCTTGAAAAATTATAGGAAATGTGATAATCCCAAACCTGTATTTAATTGTGGCAACCACCGGCTGGTTCTGAGTATTGACTGCCTCATTAGACGGCTATGCTCTCCAGATAACCCAGTCCTTAGCACTCATCGAGGGAATAATCACATGGGGCTTCAATAATTTATATCATATGAATAGTGACTTGGGCTCTCTTGACCAACCCAAAATAATGAAAAGGCCAGATATACCCTCTTACTTGAAACAGTCAAGTTGTTATTACTATTATAATGCACCGTATAGATCTGTTACTCATAGTGACCTTATGCGCAACAGCTGTGAACTCTGCTCTATCCTGAGCCAATCTCACTGTCTCTGACACACCTGCCCCAGTCACTGTGTCAGTCCATCTCATCAAGGGTCTTCCTTTCCTGTGCTGTCCCTTCACTCTGCCAAATATGATGTCCTTCTCCAAGAAGTGGTCCTTCCTGGTAGCATGCCAAAAGTATGGGAGATGGAGTTTCAAAATTCTAGCCTCCATGGGCTCTGGTGGCCTAGTGGTAAGAGGCTTCATTGCAACCACAAAGACACAGAGTTCTAATCTAGAACAGCTGCTCTGTAGAAGGATGGGCAACTTCCTCTTGTGTGATTTACTGCCTCCAAAAACTCACTAGAGGGTCGGCTATGAGTTGGTTCTCACTCACTGCACATAACAACATGTAAAAGTTAAACAGCTTATGTAAAAAAAAAAATTCTTGCCTCCAGAGAGCAAGTTGGTTTCACCCTCTCTAGGATAGACCTGTTTGTTCTCTTAGCAGTCAATAATATGTTTAATAATCTTCTCTAGCACCACAACTCAAAGACATCAATTCTTCTTCTGTCATTTTTATTCATTGTCCAACTTTCTGATGCATAGCAAGTAATTGTGAAAACCATGGTCTGAAACAGGCACACCTTAGTTTCTAGACTGACATCTTTGGTTTTTTTCAGCACTCTGGAGAGGTCCCTGACAGCAGACTTTCCTAGTCCAAATTGTCTTTTGGTTGCCTGGTTGCTGGTGTCAAGAATGTTGATCGTGGAGTCAAATGTTGCTATTGTTATGTGCTATTGAGTCACCTTTGACTCATAGTGACCCTATGTACAACAGCCCTAAACCCCACTCTATCTTGTGTCAATCTTATTGTCTCTGACACACCTACCGAATCAATCCATCTCATCAAGGGTCTTGTGCTGTTCTTCCACCCTCCCAAGGACTGGTCCCACCTTGCAATATGTCCAAAATATGTCAGAAAAAGCTTCAGAATCCTTGCCTCCAAGGAGCAGTCTGGTCTCACCCTCTCTAGGATGAACCTGTTTGTTCTCCTACTAGTCTAGTATATTTAATACTCTTCTCCAGCACCATAGCTCAAAGGCATAAATTCTCCTTCTATCATCCCTAGTCACTCATTCTCCAGCTTTCTGATGTATAGAATGTAATTGCAAAGACCGTGGCCTGGATCAGGTCAAATATCCACACTAAATACATGAAGCAGCAATATTAAAGACTTTGAATATCAGATAGCGACGAAGGAGAAACAGAGCCAAGACTTGAGATTGCTATTACGATTAATTTGAGCGATTCCAGGCCACAGTGTGTAGGAGGGACCACAGGCAGAGTCCAATGTAATCTTTGAGTTGAACAACGCAGAGTTCATTACTGCAGCTTTCTCTGGATAAGTGCCAGAGAGGACACACATACACACACACCCAGAGGGATAGAGAAAGAGAGAGAGACAGAGACAGAGAGAGAATTGTTGAGAGCTTCAGAGAATTCCTTTGAGTCGAATATAGATCAGGATAGGTGTGTGAGAAAACTGTGTGAAGGTGAGAAGGGAATCACCTGAAAGGATGAGAGATAACAGTAGCCAGTCACAGCCTTGGAAATACAACCAGTTTCCACCAGTCAGCCTGGAAAGCCTGCAGATTCATAGAAAACTGAGAATGTACATCTCCTCAGTTGTTTACGATGTTGTTAGGAGACATCAAGTTGGCTCTCACACTTAGTGATCTTCTATACAACCAAATTAAACTTTGCTTGATCCTGTCCCAGCCCCACAATCTCTGTTGTACTTAAACCCATTGTTGTAGTCAGTGTATCCATTCATCTCACTGAGGAAATATTTAGCTTTAGCCTAAATTGTGGTTCTGCCTTGCAAATCTTCAAAGCAAGAGTCAAAATAATCAAACTCTTTCCAAGTGACTTAGTTATCTCTCTGAACAAAGTTCCAAAATATTTATTGGAATACAATAATACTCATCATCTCAAAAAGCACAGTATCAGCATTTAAAATTAAGAACTACAGCCATGCAGAAAGGGCAAGAAAATGTGATCCATAATGAGAAGAAAAACCTATTCAGACATGGAAATTGACCATTAAGTGACACCAATAATAAAATTACCAGATAAGCTCACTATAGCTATATTTCATGTTCTCACAGAGTTTAGTTTAAACTCTAATATTTGATATAAAAATATTTCTTGTTTCGGATTGACAACAGTTCAGATACAGGCCTAGCAAAGTAGAGAAACATGTTATCACGAAATAAAAAGAGAT